CTTCAGATTTCATATGTATCACCTCTTTGCATGTTGAGGCAGTAAACATGAGACATCTCAGAATAGGCCAAGTGTCACTCTTTGCCTGGTCCTTTGTATTGGGAATGCGGATTGGGTCTTTATCATCACTTTCAGCTGCATCATATATAAACTTGCAAAATCCATCACTAAATTGTGTCAGCATTTCCAAAAGCTGTGGAAAATCTTCCTCTAAAAATTCAAAATCTGAGTATTGCATTGGTATGTGCTTTAAAAGAACACTTCGTATCCCTGCTCCGTCCAACAGTACATGAAAGGAGTTGAGTTCCTCTTGACTCACGGGACCAAACTGCCATAAAGTTGGCCGAGGGTCGAAGAGGGCTCTTCTTTTGAAATCTTTACTGTAGTATTTCTTGTCAATAAGCTTACCAGGGTCTCTCTCTACTTTACCTTTCCCCGATTCTCTAGGCTTGCTTGTACAGGCCAAGGCTGAAAATATAAAATACAATCAGAGATTAATTTATAAAAATGTTTGCATTAGCTTTATACATAAATTATTTATATTCACAATAACAAATTTATATTGCAACAACATTTATGCAGCATGCACCACCAATCAATTTACTAATTCATTGTTTTCTTTTCTTTTTCAGATTGAACTGGTGAGAGTTTTTCTCAACTTTGAGACCATGAAAACATTTCCAGAGGGGGAGTTCAAAAGGATGACCGGCATTACTGTCCCTCAATTTGATGTTCTGATGGCATTTTTGGATGAACGAATAGCAATGAGACTGAAGTACAAATATGATGCTGGAACTCCGCTCAAAGACCTAGAAAGTGATCTCACCTCCGAAAATCGGCTGCTGATTACCTTGCTTCGCCTGAGAGGTGGAAGGGATGAGGCTGACCTTGCAACATTTTTCAAAACAAGTGTCTCAACAGTATCAGCAGTGTTCAATACTTCGATTCAATTCATGTATTTTCAGTTCAAGAGAATCCAGTCTGCCATGTTTGTGAAGAAGGACCTTCGAAAAAGGAAAGACAGGCCCCTGCCATTTAAACCTTTCAACAAATTTAGAGTGTGCCTGGACACAACTGAGGTGGAAATAGAAAGACCTGGTAATTT